ATAGAGTCACAAGAAATTCAGGATGGAATTCGGGGTTTGGAGAGTTATGATGATGGTCCAGAAGAAGATTTAACTATATTTGAATACATGTAGATTGTTGTACCGTACTTAAAAAAAATAACACATCCCCTGAAGATAAGCCCTAGCGTGTCTTCTTGAGGAAAAATAAATAGAAGTCCCTTATTTTCGGGGAAACACGGTATATAGTTTGTTTTCTAAGCCAGCTATATAGCTGGACTATTGGCTATGTTGGATCCTATTTTCTGGATCCCATGTCATCCTCTTTTTTGGTTTGTGTGCTCCTTTCATTATGCTGAAGAATTTCCCCCAGTAGCTTTCCAAAAAGGCTATGTGGAGGTAACCCCTGAGTCTTTGCTTGTCTAAAAATTATTTTATCTCCACTCTTGGCATGGTTCCGTTGTTTTCAGTTCTTTTATTCTTTCTCTCTTTTCCTTTCCTTAATGGTGTCTAAAACTCACTAGGCCTAAAACCAAAATCAAACTCCATCAGAAAATCTTGTTATCTCCAATGTTAAAATATATCCTAAATCATGATTTCTCACTATGCCCAATCTGGTTCAAACTACCATCATCTTGCAGCTGAATGTTTAATTGGTCATCCTGTTTCTGTATTTTTTAAATTAGAAAATATTTCAAATAAATCACATGTGGCTTTATACTTTTTACTTACATAAAAAGTATGAAGATCTTACACACATAAACATATGGAATTGCTTGAAGTGTCTGTTTAGCATTCACTGTTGCTTTGCACACCAGCAGCTGCTTACTGCAAACACCTGGGACTGTAGCAAGTGACGTGTGTTCAGCCCACACGCAGGGCAGGGAGTTAACAAATCTGGATAAGCCCCCACCAATGAGTGGTGTACTAATACTCCAGCTTCCTTCCTTCCATTTCCTAGGTACCTCAGCAGTATTGAGCTTATTACCCAATAAGAACCTGCTCACTGATCTTGAACTGGCTTTCTTACCTTCCCATCTCAATTTTTCCACACTCCATTTGGTGCTTTCTGGTATGACCTACCAAATAGACTGGTTTCATTGAAATTTCAGTCTTGGGATCTGCTTTGGGGGATGCCCAATCTAAGACAGTAATATATTCATTTTCCTGCCACTGGACTTGCAGGCTGTTCTCAGTTTTTCAGTATTACAAACAAGGCTGTCTACAAACTTCTGGATATACATGTAGGTTTTCTCTCAGTATTTACCCAACAGAGGAATTGCTGAATTGAAGGGTATTTGACCATCTTCATTTTTAATTAATACCGCCAACATTTTACAAGTCTGACAATGGCAAGGACTGGCAAAAATTCCGTATGTGATGGGTGTGGAATATGACAATTCAAGCTGTGGGGGAGAGGCACTGAGGTAGTTATAGTGAGGAATGTTTCACAATTGGTATTTGATATAGTCTAATTAAGACTAATGGGGAATAAACACATGCTTAGAAATAATTATCCCTAGGTCTAAAGTCAACAAGTCTTTTTTTTTT